TCCTTTTTATCTGTTTTTTTCTAAACAGGGGGTGAATTATTGATGTTGTCCATTAATATACCCCACGCTTTTTTTAAAAATTGATAAAATACGTGATTAAAAAGTTGTAAATCAAATATATGATTAAAATTCATTGTTGAATTTAGCTTAAATTTTTATCAAAATTCTAATCCCACCAAATGTGTTACCTTTACAAATTATAATTGGCAATGTCATTTTTTTTTAAATTTTATATACATTATCTGATGGTGAGATGTTAACACAACGAAACTACGTCTGAATTTTATCTATATGTAATTTCGTGCGATCAAGTTCTCTAATATACTTACAAATCCATCATTCATTTTTCTATCGTTAGTTCAATTAACATAATTTGTAGATAACAATGAACAAAATAGTTAAATATACGAGCAAATCGAAGTTGGGTGATGTAATTTCAGTGAAAATTAGGTGACCCACAATGCATAACCTACTAAGTAGAAGTAGTTGAAAACAATGGATCAACCAAGATTGGTTTTTCAACCCAATTCATTTGGTTACTAATCCTTTTAACACCTAATTCATCCCATTCAGAAATTGTTGAGCATGGAAAGTTGTGAACAGAAGACAATAGCGTAAAGGGCCCAACTTGGCCAAAATACTTCCTTTACACATTGTATCAGAGACCGACACCAAATTCAATCAACATTTTCAAATACATTCAACATTAAATTGCCGTAAATTGGCATATATTCAAGAAACAGGGAATAGAAGCCCGGGTGTGAGCTTTTCAAATACATTCAACATTCATTTATTAGTCTTACAATGCATGAAATTTAACATACATATAATAAATTTTACAAAAATGCTTAATGCACAGTCAAAATTATACAGCAATTTTGACAGCCCTCTCATATGGATGGGGCCCAAGATTATTTTAATCGTGGACCACATCAAATTTATGTGAGAAAGCTGTCAAAATTGATATCTCTAGCATTGTTCTAAATTTTATTATAGCCGACTTATCTGGCATAGCTATTAATGTTACGTTGAAAGATTTAGGCACCGTTTGGTAA